TTCTCGATTTCTGTGGGGCTGGTTCATTTTTGATAATCAGGCCACTGTTCAGAGAGGCCCTTTCTCTAAAACACACCCCCTGATGATACTTTTTATCATAGCATTTTATTTTCACCTTAGTTTGATTATTTACTTATTTTTGCTGTGTCCCCCTTGACCAGGCTACAAAGGCAGGAGCTCCATTGGTGGTGTTTTCCACCGTACCCAGTGTTTAGAGCAGTGCCTAGTACATACAGGTCCTCGGTAAATGAATATTAAAAGAATGAAAAGAACAGCATTATTTCCCTGTTACAGGTGAAGATAATGAGGCTCACAGAGACAAAATAAATTAACCGATGTCACCCACCTAAGAAATGTGGGGGTGGGGAGGTGCTATGCAAGGGCTGGATACAACCCAGACTCTAACACTTATGCCCCTGGGTTCCAAACCATTAGACTACTCTGCCCTCCTCTTCCCTGCCACCAAGCATGCTCTCATTCCCCAAACCTTGGTGCTGAGTTTCTGGAGGCTGGTTCGAGAGTGGAAGATCCCATGGTCACTTCGGTTCAGCCTAGGCAGGTGAGGGAGAGAGGTAGGAGTCAGGTCGGGCTTTGGGGTCTTGGCTCTACCTCTCTCCTCCCCATCCCTGCCCACCACCTGGTGCTCTCTGATGCCCCGTGACCCTACCTGGTCTGGACATCAGCTGCCTTCTCCTGTGCCAAGGCCCACACACGTTCCCGCTGCCCATACATCTTCCGACTCCGGCTCAGTTCCCGAACAGACTGCAGCACCTCGGCCTGTGCCCTCTGGAGGTTCTCTGTTCCCTAGTGGCACAGACACGAGTCTTGACCCATCCACCTCCAGTCCCAAGCCAGCTCTTCCTTCACCCCACCACCAAGCCATACCTTCCTAAGCACCTGCTCCTTGGCACTCCGCCCCGTGCCCCCTGCTAGGTCACGGTAGCGGTCGGATGCTTGGAGCCGGGTTTGGCCCCCAGCCATGGTGGCATCCAGCAGGCAGCGCCAAGCACCAAATACTGTCCTGCTCCTCCCAAGAAAAAGTCTGTGTTGAAGAGGGAAGCACTCCACAGCTGCATGAGACACTCCCCCCACACACACACAAACACCATGGGAGACAGAATGCTTTACCATCCCCCCTTGTCTGGGAGCCCATCAATCGATCAGCCCATTATCTCAGCCACAAGGATCACTCATGTCCTCCACCCCCACCCAGTGTCCTTGCTGGGTCAGCTCCTCGTCTGCTGCTGTGTCAGCTCTACCTGAAGCTCACGTGCCCTCCCCCTCACTAGGCCTTCACCCCACAGGTTTCTGGGGCTGAGTTTCCCATCACTTTTTGGGCCCTGGGCTCTCCCCTTCTATAAGACCCACCTGCTATCCATCTCCCCACTCCGATGCCCTTCCCTCTTCAGGAACGGCCCAGCCAGTTTCTGCAGTGCCTGGAGAGAAAGTCATCACAGATCCAGTTCCCCTTCAAAGACCCACTCCAACTGGGAGAACATGGGATCAGGGTAAGACACTACCATGCTTTGGATGCATGTTAAGTGCCACTCTGCTGAATTCCTTATGTTCACGAAGTTCTTTAATCCTCACAACAACCCTACATGAAGGTATTATCCTCATTTTACAGAGAAGGAAGCTGAGGTCAAGAAAGATTTAGTAACATGTCCAATATCAAATAGCACAGCAGCGATTTGACATATGTCTGCCTAATTCTAGGCATCTGCTCTTGACCACGATCAGGAGAGACAATGTGGAGAGACACTGCTGGTGGTGTCGAGGAGGCTAGAACAAGAGGGAAGGTCCAGAGGAAGGAGTCTCATACCTGCCCATACTCCCGTTCAATGGCTGCCCTCTGTTTGCTGTAGGATCTGCGGAGATTGGGAGTGGGGAGGGGAGTGGGGTTATCATTTGGTCTTGTTCTCCCGTGCTCCACCCTCTCCTGGCCTGGGAAGGAGGAAGAGGGGTGCCAGGCCTAGAGTATGACTGTACCCAGGGAGAATGGGATGGAGGAGAGTCCTTGAGATCACCTCAGCCAGCTGCAACACAGGACAGCCTCTCCTCACTGCTCAGAGCCCTGAAAGGATCCTTCCCACCCCTGGAGGTGAAGACTGACGCAGGCCAGCCTTCCAACAGGTCTGGAAAACAGAGGGGACTCTGCCCTAAGTTAGACTGTAGGGGTAGGGGAATAGTGTGAAGACAAGGGATTTGAGGAAAGACCTCTGATGTTTATGTGTGTGTGTGTGTGTGTGGGAGGGTGTCATTATTTCCCGTATTAGGAGAAGCAGGCCTAGGATGGAGGGCTATGAATGGGTAGGCAGGAGAGCACCTCGCGCTGGGCCCCAACGCCGACCCCAGCAGTGTACGCTGGAGAAGTGGCGCTCACAACCGAGGAGGGAGAATGCGAAGGGTCCAGGGGCTACCTGATGTCCTCTAGCAGCTCTGCCTCCTTCTGCTGCCGGGTCTGAAGGATGCTTAGCTGCTCCAGGAAGCGAAGCTTCACCTCCTGGACCGGCTTCACCTGTGGGGCGCGGGGGTAAGGAGAGGATGAAGACCCCCGGCGCCGGGACGTAAAAAACACTCCGCGCAGGGAGAGGTGAGGGGGCGGGGTCGGGGAGGGGCTGAGCTGTTCCCTCGGTTACTTCTCGGTTGGGCTCCAACTCCATCCCACTCCCTGTCTCCCACCGCAGGTTCGGTGCCCCTTTGGCTCCCTCTACTCCCCCAGCCCGCCAGACGTCCCCATTCCCAGGCCAAGCTCACTTTTCGGGGCGGCGGCTGCATCTCTGCTCTGGCCCCGGCCCCGCCCACTCCCCGCCCACACCGTGTCCGGTTACGCGCAGGGCGCGGAAGCGTGAGCCGCCGCGGTGGAACTAAACCTCTGCTATAGCTGCGAAAACCCCGGAAGGGTCCCGGCCGCAGGGCGGACGCAGCGTCCGCTGGGCGGTAGGGAGAGCCTGGGCTTCTGAGTCAAGACGCCTGGGTTCTATTTCTAGTGTAGCCACTGATTCAGCCTGTAATTATTTCTGATCATCCATTTACATACACAGATCACCAGTCCCCGCACTAAGGGTGAGGAACTCAATAAATGACCAGGGAAATTGAGTCACTGGGCACCTGAGCGAAAATGCGACTGACGAATAGAGACGGGGCTGGTCCTAGACTTTTTTCCAATTCCCGCCAAACTGGAAAAGCCAGCATGAACCGGGTGGTGAGCTTGAGCCGGCTGGTGAGGGGTGAGAAAGCTGCCTAGAGCCCGGGAGAAACAAAGCCCGGAGGAAGACAGGTACATCTGGGCCCCCCTGGCAGCTGAAGGATACCAGCGAGTGGGCATGAATTGAAAGATGCTCCAGGAGCCTTTAGGGTCTGTCCTTAAGGCTCTGCAGCCCATCTTCTCTGCCAGCCCTAGAGCTGCCTTTCTGGGAGCCTTAGCCCCAGTTCCACAACCTCTTCATTTAAGCTTCCTTGGCCCTTGGCCTGTCCTCTCATCCCCGATATGGCCCAAAACTGGATTCACATATCCAATTACCCACTGACACCCCCCACTAACATACCTATAACACCTCAAACTTTTTAAATGGCCCCTTCAACCTTATCCTCCCCTGGGTAACATATCAAATGTACCACGCTCCCTGCAGTTAGGAAAGTTAAAACCAGAGTCAGTGTGCCCTTTCTCCTACTACGTATTCTATACATCAGCAAGTCCTATAGGTTTTCTTTCAAAAAAACAAAAATAGGATCAGCAGATAGCATGGTAGTTAAGGTACTATACTCCCACATGGCCAGATGCAGTTTGAGTCCCAGGCCCAGTGACTTGAAAATCACACCAGGCACATGTGCGTGTGTGCCCAAAATCCCCAAGAGGAGACCGAAGAAGGGACTGTGGCATGTCCATCCCCCTGGAAATGATTTCTCACTTTCCCTCTGTCTCTCTGTCAGGTGGGCACATGTGACTTATGGGGGGGAGGGGACTTAAAAAAAAAAACTACAAAAGATAAAAAAAAAAAAATCTACTGTTCTACTTCCCTCAATTTTCAAGACCACCATCCTAGTCCAAGCCGTCAGTCTCCCTGTCTATTATCTGATCTCCTTGCTTGCAAGCTTTCCCCTATAACCTACTGTCGGCGTGGGAGCCAGAGTGATTGATCTTTTTTATAAAGGGGAAGTAAGATCTCATCATTTTCTTATTTTAAATGCAATTGCTTCAGAATATCCAAATGCCTGAAGTCCAAATAGAATCTATGGCCTACCAGGCTGTGAGAGTTTGGGCCCCGGCTGATCTTGCCCTCTCAGCCCGTACTCTCCTCTCATTCCCCACTGTGGTGCGGTTTTCCAGCCTCCTTGTCCTCACAACAGGCCAAATCGCTTCCCACTCCACAGCCTCATGCTGGCTGCTTCTCCCCCAGAAATTCCCTCTCCCAGCACTCTATTGTTTTTCCATAGCCGCTGCTGCTTTTATTTCCCTTTTGTCAGAGGGCACACTCACTTGCCAGAGAGAGAGAGAAATACCCCACAAAGGGTGTGGTCATACCCCGATCCCTTCTCCTCCATTTTTCCACCATGTCGGGATTTTAGGCACACATACATATGCATCCAGCATGTCTTTCAAGCTACAAGGGCCGGGATTCGAACTGTAGTTGGCCGTGTGGGATCTGGTTCCAGTAACCCCCTAGGCCATGGGGTCAGTCATCCACAGCTTCTTACCCTTAAGTTTCAGCTTGTCACAGAGGACATCCCCATCCACCCATTCTAAAGGCCACCTTGACAGTCACTCTCAGACAGTGTCGGTTAGTTTTTTCACAACAGTAAACTCACTTGTTAATGTATTCGTATATGTGTATATTTTCTATTTTCTGTCCCCTCTCTATGGTAGAGGAACTGTAAGAACAGGGACACCATTTGTTTTGTCCATATAATATCCCTGAACCTGTCACCAGTTAGGTGTCCAGTCTCTATTTTTGAATGAATAAATGAGTAAAAGAAAGAATTGCAGCCTTTTGGTTCCAGGGTTTATTAATAGTGGTCCATCCTTTTTGGGCTCCCCTTTTCCTGAGCGCCATACCCCAGCCCATCTCCCGCCTCCAGGGCTTCAATGTAGTCACAGAAAGTAGAAAGCAGGGTAGGATAGACCTGCACATCATCCAGCCCTCTGGCTTCCAAAACTTTCTCCCTTTAATGCAGCAAAACCATTCTTTTAAGGCCTAAAATCTCTCAAAAACACCTGCGTATCAAAAATATAAAGGCGGAGCTGCCCTCGTCGAGGTAAAATACAGAGGCAAACAGCTCTGAGACACACAGGGGACATTCACCAGTCTCCTAGTTTCAGTTACTGCATGGTACAGATAGATGCTGAGGCCCAGAGAGGGGCATGGCCTGCCCTGGGACACCTGGCCTCCACCTGGCTCAGTCTAACGCTTCTTCCAATGTCACGCTGGATTCTGGGATCTTCCCAGCCAGGGCAGAGGAGGCTCCCAGTGGCATCTGCCATGGTGAGAGCTTGGGTCTTCTGGGTACCTACTCCCTCAGACTGCTGGTCCTAGGGTCATGTGAGGGGCTGGCTGGAGGGTGGACCAGAAGTGCAGGGGGTTGGGGTGGGAAAGTCGGGTGTCTGTGCTGGCAGGCTGGTAGGGCTGGGCGTCTGGGGGCTGGATGGCTGGGAAGGGATTCCCAGGCCTGCGGTGAGCTCTCCCTTCCTCAGGATAAGGCTGTTGAGCTCCTGGAGCAGCTGTTCCTCCAGGGATCCCTGTGTTTGGGGACTGCTCTTTGAAGGGGGGCCTGGAGGAGGCTCAGGTGGCCTCTCATCCCAGCCTGGGGTGCTTGTCTTTGAGAGAAAGGGTTGATCAAAGGACCTCTGGCTGGTGAGCGGGTTCTCCAGCTTGGCTGCCCACTCCCGTGAGGCGATGGAAGATGTGGAGGTGTCCTTGGTCAGCTCGGGGAAGGCCCCTACTTCCTCATACACGGGCTCCTCGTACACAGGCTCCTCCAGTTCCTCTTGTTCCTCCACAGACCCCTGGGATGACTTCATTGGCTGGATGGGAACGAGGTGGCAGGACGCAGGCACAGTTAGCTATGGGAGTATTAATCACTGACATTTACTGAGCCTCTCTCTGGGCCAGATGCTGCGAAACATTCGGCATACATGATCTCAGAATAACCCTGTGCTGTGGGCTACACAGCAAAAGAGCGAACTGAGGTGTAGAGGGGCCAAGTAAGTTACCCGTAATGAGTAAGCGGTAGTAGAGCTTGGGCTTGAACCTAGGGCAGTCTGACTCCAAAATGGATTTGCCTAATCACTTGCCTTTGATTTCTCAGATTCTCTGACCGCTTTCTCTTCTCCCCACCACATCCCACCATCCCTCATTTTTCTCATTCTTTCTGCCCACCCCACCCTCAACACACACACACACACCGATGGCTGGCACCAGGAAAACACCGAGAGCACACAGGGCCCAGGCAGCACATGACTCAGGGCTGACAGGCACAATTGGAGCAGGCACAGTACTCACAAAGAACATGGACAGGGTCCTCCGGGTGTGTAGTCGCCGCTGGGCATAGGTAGGGTAGGGACCAGAGAGGGAGAGACACAGAGACACAGTGAGGCCTGGCAGCAAGAGACATGAGTGGGGAGTCGGGGCCCAGAGAAGGCAAGGGAGGGGGGTAGAGTGAACAGAGGTGGGGATCAGGCTCCCTTCTGCAGTGTGACAGGGTAAGGGCGGGGGTCAGACAGGGACTGGGACAGGCTGGAGGGGTGGTCTCACCAAGGTCTGATTGGCAGAAAGGAGTGAGGCTCCACTGTCATCCCCACGGATGGGCAGCAAGGGCATAGTGCCAAACTTCTGACGGGCGAGGTCAGAAGAGGAACGGCGTCGTAAGACCACGGGCTGCTGGTCATCGTGCTGGCGAGAGGTCGAGGGTTGGCACCATTGGCCATGAGGGGCACTCAGGGACCACAGACCTTGCTCCCCAGCCTTTGTCTTCCCCTCACCTGGGCTTTAAGGATGCTGGTGGTCCAGTCCCACATCTCATCCTCATCAGTGCAAGACAAGTAGCTGGGGGTGATCAGAATGGATTGAGGGGAGCCACAGAGATGGAGGAATGGAGGAGGGCAAGAGGGAGGAGACAGGACAGGGCGCAGGGCTGGGCCAGGGAAAAAGCCAGGCCAGCGGGTGGGGGTACTCACAGGTGCATCTTCTCCAGTATCAACGTGAAGCCCCATCTGAGAGGCAAAGGGAAACAGTGACGAGTGATCAGAAGGCCCAGAGTAGGGAAGGCAGGAAGGCCCTAGCAATGTGGCTGGGGAAGAAAACTCACAGTGTTGGAGGCTTTAACTTCTTGCGGATCCCCAGGTAGACCTTGGCACCTTCCAGAGGCCATTCTCGCTCTGGTTTAGAGCTCTGAGAATAGGAACAGAGTCAGCGAGGCTGAGAGATGGGAGATGGCAGTTAATGGGGTCAAAAAGTCATGGAAGCTCTGGGATATGTGATTATAGATCAGAGCTATCAAAGGGTGCGGGAAGCAATGAGATTGATGTGTATGGACTGTTGCGTTGGATGGTAGGTGCCGTCATGGCCCTCCTATGTGGCTACTCAGAATCCTGGCCTTCCGGCCTAGGGCTTCACCTTTTTCTCCTTGAGCAGCAGCAGGCAGCGGCCACGCAGCAGAAAGAACCTTTCCTGGAAGCGGCTTCCCAGCAAGCGAGGTGGCTCCTCACGACATCGCAACAGCCCCACCCGAGGGCTCTCACGTCGAACACCTGGGCACAGATAGCACTACTGGGTGGAGGCTCCTGGGGGAGATGCCTGAGGGCTGCTGGGCTGAGGAAGGAGGCCCACCTGTGAAGAGACAGCCAGCTTGGGCCAGGGAGACTCTTCTCAAGAGCAGAGAGGCTGAGCAGGGCTCTGGAAGCTGGCACCATTGTAGGGCCTGCTCCAGGACCTTTTCCTTGGGGTGCAGTGGCCGCTCTTAAGGGGAAAAGAGAGGTAGGTATCAATCAGAACATCTATCCAAAAGCCTGGAGCCCCCACCTCATCTCCCACCAGTCACGTATTCATCCACCCACTCAACCATCCAGCCACAGACATTTATTTTAGCACTAACTATGCAGGCACTGGCCGTGGGATACAACGGTGAGCAGGACATGGATGGCCTGCTTTCCAAAGCCCACAGCCTAGTGAGGAAGCACACGACAGACAGGTAAGCAGACACAGTAAAGGCACACGAGTATCTGCTTTGCAAGAAACAAGCTGAGACAGTAACAGGCCTTCCAGAAAAGGGATTTGAAGATGAAACTCAGAGATCAGGAAGATTAGAGGGGCCGGCAAATGGCATGGTGGTTAAGGGCACTGGACTCCCACATAGCTGACTGTGGTTTGAGGCCTGGACCTGGTGGCTTTTGCTTTCTCACTTTCTCTTCCTCTCTCTCTCTCTGTCCCTGTCTGGTTAAATTAAAATAAATTTTAAAAAGCTAAATAAAAAGGTTTTTTTTTTTTTAAAAAAAGAGAGCGATCAAAAGGGTTAGGAAGAAAAAAACCACACTAAGATTGGATTAGAAGAGTCCAAATATAACAAAATATTAGAGCAAAGGGCATGAGTCTGAATAATGTATTTGGGAAACTAAAAGCTAGTGTGGCTTTAGTAAAGAGGACAGATGAGAGAATAGGTGATGTAAGATAAGCTCTGAGAGAGGGGCTGGCAGGTGGCAAAGTGGCTAAGGTGCTGGATTTCCACATGGCTGACCATGGTTCAAGTCCCAGACCTGGTGGCTTAAAACATCACAACAAATAAAGAGATAAATAAATACGGGGAGAGGGGAGATAAGGGCTGAGAAATAAGCAGGGGCCATTCAGGGTCTTGACCATGATAAGGAATTTGAATTTTATTTTAAGTCCAATGGGAAATTATCAGAGGATTTTAACCATGAGAATGGCATGATGGCATGATATGATCTGATTCATGCTTGAAATGTTCATTTGTGTGGAAAATGGACTGTCAGGAGGCAAGAATGGAATATGTCCTGCTATACCCTTTCAGGGAGCACATGTTTTTAGTGCTTCATGTTGACAAGCAGAAAGATAATGGTACTTAGACAAGGATGGTGGTTACGGTGGGCATGGAGTGATGTGACAGATTCTAACAGAACTGACAGGACTAGCTGGTGGGTTTAGGTATGAAGAAGGAGAGGAAGGAGTCCTGTGGGACCCAGCTTAATATTGGGTTGTCATAAAAGTTATGACACATTTTTGCATAGGAAAACATAGACAAATACATCATAAATTTTTCGACAACCCAGTAACTGGGTGAATTATGGTGCTATTTACTGAGTTGGGAAAAACTAGAAACTGGCCTGGATTTTTAGTTAGGGGAGGGGCCTAGGGATGAAGCCAGTTCTTACTTTTTTTTTTTTTTTTGAGAGGTTTTTGCTATAGGGCGTGTGTGCTTGCCAGAAAGACAGAGAGAAACAGAGAGAAAGAAAGCAAGAAATCACCCCCTGGGGGGATGGCCACACCGCAATCCCTTCTCCTCCATTCTCCTCTCGGGATCTTGGGCACACACGCACATGAGCCTGGCATGAGTTTAAGCCTCTGGGTCTGGGACTAGCTAACTGCTGGTCCCCAGTTCTTAGACATTTTAAATTTGAGATACTTCTTGGAGTAAGTGTTCTGGATCCCAACAGCAAGATGAGGAAACTAGAGCCATGAAAGGTGAAATGATGAGTTATTTAAGTCACACAGCTAAGCAAGTAGCAGAGCTGGGATTAGAACTCAGGTTTCCAGGGAACCAGCAGTTAGCGTAATGGCTATGTCGCTGGACTCCCACGTAGTCGACCGCGGTTCGCGTCCCGGACCCGGTGGCTTGAAACTCACGCCGGGCGCGTGTGCGTGCGTGCCCAAGATCCCAAGAGGAGAATGGAGGAGAAGGGATTGCGGCGTGACCATCCCCCCTGGGGGGGGATTTCTCGCTTTCTGTCTCTCTGTCTCTCTCTGTCTGGCAAGCGCACGTGCCCTATTGCAAAAACCTCTCAAAAAAAAAAAAAAAAAAAAACCAAGAACTCAGGTTTCCAGCCTCCCAACCATTCCCTATCTGCCGGGAGCCGTACCCCAGCCAGGGTGGGTGCACAGCGATGGAAGTGAGGTCCAGAACTCGTAAAACTGTTGACCTTGCAAACAGTTCTCCTCAGCCGAGTCCTTGCTCTAGGCACGAGGGGCAGTTCTTTCATACTCAGCTTGTGTTAACTGCATGGTCCCAGCACCTATCAGTTGTTAAAATGAATCTATGGAAGCAAACCCCTAGTGACTTCTTAAGGCAAATCAACGGAGAGCCAGTTGTGGTAAAATTAAATTCTGGGAACCAGCAGATGGCATAGCGGTTACATGGCTGAACTCCCATGTGACTGACCACGGTTCAAGTTCTGGACCCAGTGGCTTCAAACTCATGCCAGGCATGTGTGCGTGCACGCTCAAAATCCTAGGAGGAGAATGGAGGAGGACGAACTGTGGCATGACCATCTCCCCTGGAGGGTGATTCCTTGCTTTCTGTCTGTTATAGGGCAAGCACTTGTGCCCTGTAACAACAATTTTTCAAAAACAATATTAAATTCTGAGTGGACTATCAAGCCAAGTGGACTAGCTTGCTGGATGGTCACGTGAGTATAGCCCTGGAACAGACAGAAGAATATGTAAGTGGGCAGCGGATGAGTTAACTACAGGGATGCGTTTAACTGATGAAACGTAAGTACACAGAAGAGAAGGCCGTGAAGACACCAAGAGTGCGATGCATTTCAGGGCTGGATTTTTTTTTTTTATGAAATCTTTTTTTACTTTTTGGTTCTTTCATGATATAATTTGTCCTTTTTTCCTATTTTATTGATTTTCTATTGACATATATGATAAATGTATAAATCATGGATTTAATTATAAAGAGTTCTTTCACATGTAAATTTTAGTCATTTTCTTTTACCTGTCAGTGTACATAATGTTAAAAGAATTTATAAAGAGGGAACCAGCGGTTAGCGTAATGGCTATGTCGCTGGACTCCCACGTAGTCGACCGTGGTTCGTGTCCTGGACCCGGTGGCTTAAAACTCATGCTGGGCGCGTGTGCGTGCGTGCCCAAGATCCCGAGAGGAGAATGGAGAAGGGATTGCAGTGTGACCATGCCCTCTGGGGGGTGATTTCTCGCTTTCTGTCTCTGTGTCTCTCTCTGTCTGTCTGGCGAGCGCATGTACCCTATAGCGAAAACCTCTCCAAAAAAAAAAAAAGACCCAGACCTGGTAGTTTGAAAAATCACAGCAAATAAACAGATAAATAAATGCCTTAAGAAAGAGAGAAAAAAGGAGAGAAAAATCACACTGGGTATGTATGTGTTAGCATGCCCAAAATCCTAAGAGGAGAATGGAGAAGAAAGGATTGTAGTGTGGTCATCCCTATTGTGGGGTGATTTCTCACTTTTCCTCTCTCTCTCTGGCAAGGACATGTGCCCTATAGTAAAAACAAACAAACAAACAAACAAAAAACAGAAAACAACAAAAGAATTTAAAAAGAGACAATATTTTGAGATGGTTATGAGAAGTGGGCATGTCAAAGATGCAATTGGAAAAGTGAATCCGTAGATTAGAGGAGAGATCTGGGCCAGAGATTAAAAACCTGGGTTTCCCTTATTAAGGGCATCTAGGGCCATGGGAATGGATGTGAAACACAGGTAGAGAAGGAGAAAGGGCCCAAGCCTGAGCTCCAGGTCCCTCCAACATCCGGAGGCTGAACAAGAGAGGAAGAGAAGCCTCCTTTGAAGTAGAAGGGACACCTAGTGCTTTAGTTCACTAAAGCCAAGAGAGGAGACTGGGGAAAGAGGGAGTGGCCAGCCCCGCTGAATGTCCCCTCACAAGTGGGACACCCACATGAGTGGGAGAGTAGTGCTCACTGCATGTGATAACACAGAAATCACTGATAGCCTTGACACACGCACATGCACACACGAGTGGTCAGACTCACCAAGCTCCCCATGCTCAAGAATCTCGAACGTCATCCACAAGTCCGTGCCAGCTGCTGTCCCTCGCATTTCTAGTACCTGGTTAGTCAGCTCCTCAGCAGTCAGTGTTGGCGACACCTGGAGTCAGGGCAACAGCAGAGACCCTGCGCTGGTCAGGTCATCGCCCCTGCCCCCCACCATCCTCCCACCACCTCCCTCTCTGTTCTCTCAGGACCAACCTTCAGGGTGACACAGTTGTCTGGGAGCTGCTGCTCTATGTACACTTCCATGATGAGGTCTCCAGCCTGGGACAGCTGAGGGGAGGGTAAGGAAGCCCAGATAACACAAGAGGATGCAAAGAAATCAGAGGGCTCATCACGTTGTCTCACAGGGTCTCCCCTGACAGAGGTGTCCTCTCAACCCTGACCACCCAACGTGGCAGAGGCCCTAAAAAGGGAGCACTCCAACAGTGGGGAACGCACCTTTAGGCTGCACATAGTGCCTCTCAAGGCAGCGCAGCACAGGGGTTGGGAGGACAGGTTTGGAGGCAGACAGCTTAAGTTCCAACCCCGCACTCACTATGCTGTGACCTGGGATAAGTGACCCACGTAGTCGACCGTGGTTCGTGTCCTGGACCCGGTGGCTTAAAACTCATGCTGGGCGCGTGTGCGTGCGTGCCCAAGATCCCGAGAGGAGAATGGAGAAGGGATTGCAGTGTGACCATGCCCTCTGGGGGGTGATTTCTCGCTTTCTGTCTCTGTGTCTCTCTCTGTCTGTCTGGCGAGCGCATGTACCCTATAGCGAAAACCTCTCCAAAAAAAAAAAAAGACCCAGACCTGGTAGTTTGAAAAATCACAGCAAATAAACAGATAAATAAATGCCTTAAGAAAGAGAGAAAAAAGGAGAGAAAAATCACACTGGGTATGTATGTGTTAGCATGCCCAAAATCCTAAGAGGAGAATGGAGAAGAAAGGATTGTAGTGTGGTCATCCCTATTGTGGGGTGATTTCTCACTTTTCCTCTCTCTCTCTGGCAAGGACATGTGCCCTATAGTAAAAACAAACAAACAAACAAACAAAAAACAGAAAACAACAAAAGAATTTAAAAAGAGACAATATTTTGAGATGGTTATGAGAAGTGGGCATGTCAAAGATGCAATTGGAAAAGTGAATCCGTAGATTAGAGGAGAGATCTGGGCCAGAGATTAAAAACCTGGGTTTCCCTTATTAAGGGCATCTAGGGCCATGGGAATGGATGTGAAACACAGGTAGAGAAGGAGAAAGGGCCCAAGCCTGAGCTCCAGGTCCCTCCAACATCCGGAGGCTGAACAAGAGAGGAAGAGAAGCCTCCTTTGAAGTAGAAGGGACACCTAGTGCTTTAGTTCACTAAAGCCAAGAGAGGAGACTGGGGAAAGAGGGAGTGGCCAGCCCCGCTGAATGTCCCCTCACAAGTGGGACACCCACATGAGTGGGAGAGTAGTGCTCACTGCATGTGATAACACAGAAATCACTGATAGCCTTGACACACGCACATGCACACACGAGTGGTCAGACTCACCAAGCTCCCCATGCTCAAGAATCTCGAACGTCATCCACAAGTCCGTGCCAGCTGCTGTCCCTCGCATTTCTAGTACCTGGTTAGTCAGCTCCTCAGCAGTCAGTGTTGGCGACACCTGGAGTCAGGGCAACAGCAGAGACCCTGCGCTGGTCAGGTCATCGCCCCTGCCCCCCACCATCCTCCCACCACCTCCCTCTCTGTTCTCTCAGGACCAACCTTCAGGGTGACACAGTTGTCTGGGAGCTGCTGCTCTATGTACACTTCCATGATGAGGTCTCCAGCCTGGGACAGCTGAGGGGAGGGTAAGGAAGCCCAGATAACACAAGAGGATGCAAAGAAATCAGAGGGCTCATCACGTTGTCTCACAGGGTCTCCCCTGACAGAGGTGTCCTCTCAACCCTGACCACCCAACGTGGCAGAGGCCCTAAAAAGGGAGCACTCCAACAGTGGGGAACGCACCTTTAGGCTGCACATAGTGCCTCTCAAGGCAGCGCAGCACAGGGGTTGGGAGGACAGGTTTGGAGGCAGACAGCTTAAGTTCCAACCCCGCACTCACTATGCTGTGACCTGGGATAAGTGACTTTCCAAGCCTCAGTTTCTTTTCTTTTCTTTTCTTTTTTTTTTTTTTTTTTTTTGAGAGGTTTCTTTGCTATAGGGCACGTGCACTCACCAGAAAGACAAAGACAGAGAGACAGAAAGTGAGAAATCACCCTCCCGGGGGGATGGCCATGCCACAATCCCATCTCCTCCATTCTCCTCTCGGGATCTTGGACACACATGCACACATGCCCAGAGTGAGTTTAAGCCACTGGGTCCAGGACTCGAACCATGGTTAACTACACGGGAGTCCAATGACATAGCCATTATGCCAACTACTGGTCCTGCAAGGCTCAGTTTCTTTACTTAAAAACAATGGATATACTTATTTCATGGAATTGTAGATGTTAAAATGAGACTAGAGGTGCTTAGAATGTAGTGAGTCTGAGCCAAGGTTTACTGTTATATTTCTACTTTATATATATATATATATATATATACTTTTTTAGGTTTCCAGGTATAGGACACATGCACTCGCCAGAATGAGACAGAAAAAGACAGTGAGAAGGAAAGTGAAAAATCACCTTTAGGGGGATGGCCACACAGCAATCCCTTCTCCTCCATTCTCCTCCTGGGACTTTGGACACACATACACACACACATTCACACGCTGGGCACGTTTCAAGACACTAGATCTGGGACTCGAACTGTGGTCAGCCATGTGGGAGTCCAGTGCATTAACCAGCACACCACCTCTGGGCCCTATTGTTATTGTTACTGCTCTGTCTGACTTCACTAACTCTTATGCTTCCTTGGATCTCTTGTACATAGAAGTGGGGTGCTCCATTTCATAATAAAGAATCCACAGGGTGGAGTAAAGGGAGCAAACTCTGACCAAACTCCACTTTGAAAGCACAGTCCTCCTTGGGCTTCCCCCGTCTCCAGGAGGAGCATAAAAGGGAAACTTCCTCAACCGACCCAAAGGCCAGCTTCCTATCTCAATGTCCCCTCCTGCCCCACTCAGGAATCTAGAGTCAGGGTAAGTTACCTGCACATCCTTCCAAGTGGTGATAAGACTGACCTCCAAGTCAATCTGAGCTACCTGGTCAGAATCAATCTGTGAAAATTCAAATAGGAGTGTGTTGGGGTTTGTGCTGGGAAAGGCACAAGAGGGAAGACCTCAGGCCAAAGTGGACCTCGATAAGAGGACTGAAGGCCTGAAGAGCGAAGAACCCATGGTTGTGGGTGGTGGGGATGAGGCTGTAGGAGGAAGAGACCCAGGGCTTTGGAAGGTGTTTCCTGATGCAGGAGTATTAGAGGGCTGAGCTGGGGGCTGGCTGGGTAGGCAGGATCCAGAATCTCTGGGTTCCACAGGCATAGGAGACAGGGGTTACAGGCCAGGGACCAGGGGTCAGGGGTCAGGAAAGCCTTACATCAAAGACAGCGACGTAGCTGTCGATGAGCTCCTGCAGCACCCGCACCTCGTGCTCCCCTCGCCCATCTGTCTGGAACACGCTGGGCGCAAACAGCAGGGCCAGGTTCCGTGTGCACATCTGGTTTAGAGTTGCACACTTCTGCACCCTACAGGGGGCGCCAGAGTCATGAGGAACACAGCTCTTTATCAACACACCCATTCATTCAACAAACAAGTATTGAGCCCCTGCTGTGTGGGGGAACCTGGTCTAAGTACTTGGGATACAGCGGTGAGTAAGACAATACTGGCCTCAAGAAGCTCCCAGACTGGAGGAGATAGATAGGCATGGATGATTATAAATACAGCAGGGCTCAGCAAACTCTGTGTATGTGGTGGGGGGAGGGGTTTCTATAGCACATCACTGTGTAGTGATCCTCCTCCCTCAGCTACGTGAGTAGGTGGGACTATAGGTTACAGGTGTGCCCCACCACTCCTGGCTCCTTCAGACAGGGTCGCTGTGTTGTCCACTCTAGCCACAGGCTCGTAATCACCCTGCTCAGCTCCCTAAGTAGCTAACTTTTTATATAAAGGGACAGATGGTAAATAGGCTTACAGGCCATTCAGTATCTGCCACAACCCCTCAGCTCTACTGCTGTAGCATGAAAGGAGCCACGGATAGTAAGGAAGTGCACAGTGCAGCTTTACACTTTGCGTGCGAAACTTTATTTATAAAGACAGGCAAAGGGTGGGATTTGGCCCAGGGCCTGATGTTGGCCAATCCCTACAATATAGTGTAATCCGGCCAACACTGCCAAGGATTCGCCCCAAAAGCCTGTCTCCCCCTCAGATTAGCAAAGGTAGGTCTGCATCTTATTCTTCATCGTGTTTCTTACATTTAACACTTAACCTGACATAGAATAACAAAACAAAATAGTACGGATTGCTAGCCATTACTGAAGGCTTACTCCATGCCTTACACTGTACTAAGAATTTCACAAGGATTATCTTATTTAATTCTCACATATCCTGTAAGGTAGATACTATTTATTACATAATCTTCCTTCTAGAAATAAGGAGGCTGAGGTGTAGAGAGAACAAATAGCTTATCCAAGATCATGTAGCTAGAATGACAAGATTAAAGCCCAGGTATGTCTGACCCCAAATCCATTCTCTGAAACTTTATGCTCGGGTACTTTCACCTAACAACCATTTGGTAATGGATGAGTGGGCAAACGAATTTATGAGTTAGGGTACACGTGGTGATGAGGGGTCAGGGAGGGAGCCTGAGGAGGCCTGGCCACACTGACCGATAGAGGTGCCCGATGAGGGTGGCTAGTGTGCGGCGGTTGACCCTGGGCAAGCAGCCAATCACTTCTTTGTACTTCTCCAGGCGCTGATTCTTCTGGGGCAGCTCTGCGGGTGAAATGGAGGAGGGTTGGAGACATGGGACTGGAGTGTGGGTCTGGAGTAGAGGGAAGGATTTTTGGAGAAACAAGCCCAGGATAGAGGTGTCTCTGTCCCCTTCCCACCACCCCGAGCTGAGTGTCTGGATACTACCTGGGGGGCAGGGGGAATGTTGAGGAGAAGGGTTGCCCAGTCCCATAGAGAGCCTCATGGATTCTGGTGGGGAGGGGAGAGACCCTGGTTGGCCCTAGTCCCTAGGGATCTTGGGAGTCCCGCCAGCCTCTCTCCAGCGAGGCAGCAGCCGTGCAGAGGTCACAGGATCATCAAGCTCACGAAAGAAGCGTTTGAGCGTGTCAGTGACATCTTCCACGAAGTGCTCCCCTGGTCGGAGCTTCACTGATCGGGCATCCCGCCGGAACTCAGCCAGGAGTCGCAGGCTGCGGGCTCGAGCACCTCCTTTGCGATAAACGCCCTCCAGTCGGAGCCCTGAGAACAGCCAGCCGTTGCTGCTCGGGCCCTGCACGAAGACTGTCACCCACCCAGCAGCCCACCTGTGTCCCTCTCTTCATGATACGTGGCCTATGGGAGCAGTGGGGAGATCTGTGCCTCATAGTCTCTATTCTCAGATCCCTTCTGGAGTCCTCAACAAAGGCCTTCCCTGATCTATCATACAGTGACCCCCGCCATGCCGCATCTTACCATCCACCACCTTTAGTTTTATTTTACTTTATCACCAGACAGTGCAGTCACTCACCAGAGAGTTACAGAGAGACAGAGAGGGAGGAAGAACCTCCCAATGGGGTATGGTCATGCTGCAATCCCTTCTCCTCCATTTCTCCATCCTTTCAGGATTTGGAGCGCACACATGCACATAAACACTCTCACACACACACACACATGCACACACACACACATCAGAGTGTTTTTCAAGCCACCAGGGTCAGGATTTGAACTGTGGTTGGCCATATGAGATCTAACTCCCTTAGCCACTAGGCAATGGGGCCAGCCCAACCGTTTTTAGTTTTAAATACACTCTGAAGTCACCTTAAAGCTGATTCTCGTTGTCTATGGGTTCTGTATGTGCACACTTGCCCACTTGTTAAACTTTATTTGTAACCCCCAAATCAATCTTTTTAGCACTTGGGCAGTCATTTGCAAGCACGCAGTCATCCCCCCTGTTCTTGTGTTTCCAGCTAATGTCTCATATTATAAACAGGAGTCCTTTCCAGTGTATAAGGGGACTTCAGAAAGTTCACGGGAAAAAGGAATTAAAGTATGAGTTTATTTAGGTGCAAAAAACTTTTTTTAATGCATCAGTTTGGACTTATCCCCCGGGACTCTCATAGTGCCTCATGCCAGAGCAACTAGCTCTGAACCATTGCCCAGTCTCTGCCGATAGGGTGCTGGCAATGAAGCAGACTGCACAGTAGGAAAACAAATGAACAAACAAACAAAAATGAACTTTTAAAATCCATGCATAGTTTTTTTCATAATATGCACTTTCCATGAACTCTTTGAAGACTCCTGATACTGTAGACCCCCGACACACTCAGACAAGAAGCCATTTTAAATCCGAGGTGTGTCCTGGAGTGTTCAGGGACCAAGGCGACTAAAATTATGCTCTAAACCTTATCTTCTACACTTCTGAAACACTCAAACAAGAGGAGATATTTTGTCACAGACTGACCAGGAATTACTGCAAAGGTACAAGAAATATGAGAAACCAAGAGAATCTCTCTCCTGTAAGTGAAAAGAACAACCCTTCACCATCCACAGACAGTACAGTGGAACTCACGGAAATGTCCAATAGAGAATTCAGAATATTCATAGTGACAAAACTAAACGAGATGCGAGAGGTGAGAGACAATGAACTCCAGATGATGCAGGAGAAAAGAGACAAAGGGTTCCAGGAGGTGAGGAAGTTCTTACACGATCTGAAAGAGGAAATACACACCATAAAAAAGAATCAAATATTAGAGATGAAGGTGGTAATACAGGAAATCAAATCCTCCCTCGAAAGTATTAAAAGCAGATTAGTCCATGCAGAAAAATCAAATCTCGGATGTTGAATGCAAAACCTTTGTCCTAGAAAAAGAACACCAAAAAAACAGAAAATAACCCCCAAAAATGAGAATATTATGCAAGAACTACTAGATGCCATTAAGCACTGAAACATCCAGATAATCGGTATCCCAGAAGTTGAAGAAACTAATAAGGGCATTAATAATCTATTCCATGAAATCCTGGAAGAAAACTTTTCAAATCTAGAGAGGCATTCAAATATCTAGACCCAAGAAATACAAAGGACCCCACATAGAATCAACCCAAGAAGATCTTCTCCAAGGCACATCATAGCCAGATTGACCAAATCCATAGATAAAGACAAGATACTAAAATTGGCAAGAGAGAAACATTGGGTTACTTATAAAGGTTGTCCCATCAGGCTAACATCAGACCTCTCATCAGAAACAGTGTGAGCAAGGAAAGAATGGGAAAATATATTCAAAGTGTTAAGTGAAAAACAGTTTTGGGAACCAGCGTTAGCGTAATGGCTATGTCGCTGGACTCCCACGTAGTCGACCACAGTTTGCATCCCGGACCTGGTGGCTTAGGACTCATGCCGGGCGCGTGTGCGTGTGTGCCTAAGATCCCGAGGGGAGAATGGAAGAGAAGGGATTGCGGCGTGACCATCCCCCCTGGGGGGTGATTTCTCACTTTCTGTCTCTATGTCTCGGTCTGTCTGGTGAGCGCACGTGCCCCATAGCGAAAACCTCTCAAAAAAAAAAAAAAATCAGTTTCAACCAAGAATACGATACCTAGCAAGATTACCCTTCATAAGGGAAGAGAAGATAAAAACATTCTTAGATAAACAAAACCTGAGTTTACCAATACCAGACCAGCTCTTCAAGAAGTTCTAAAAGGAGTGCTTTTAAGAAAACTAAAGACACACATATAGAAATAAGAGAACAAAAAGCAACGAAGACAATGACCAACTTAATGCTAGGGACAAGAAATATCAATAAAATATTGAATGTTAACTTCTAGGATTTAAACGGAAAGATCGGATCATAGTAACACTGCAGATTTAACAGTATAAAGATTAATTACATGAGACTGAACTGGGGAAATAGAAATGCATGACTTTCGAGTAAAACATTACTGGCTTTTTCTTTATTCTGCTTTGTTTTCCCAATTTAAGGATTTTGCTTTCTTTTGAGCTATGGATACGCTTACCAATTTGTTAAAATGTTTTTTCTTCTTGTTTGTTTCTTTTAATGGAAATATAAACTTTTGTTTCTGACCCCTCTGTAATTGGGAAATATTTGGGAGTTTTCTTATTTTGTGGCAGAATGATTATTTGCATGCGTTCAATAATACCGGGGCCAGCAGGTGGTGTGGTGGTTGATGGCACTGGACTCCCACATGGCTGACTGTGGTTCGAGTCCCAGACCTGGCAGCTTGCTTTCTCACTTTCCCTCTTTCTCTCCTTCTCTGGTCAATTAAATAAGTAAATGAAGTTAAATAAAATAACTCTCTAAAAATAAATAAATAAATTCAATAATAACCTGTTGCCTTGAATCAGAAATTGGAAATACTCATTATTGGACAGGGCTGGAATGTCATATCTGAAGATTAAACCAGAAAACTATGGAGCTAAGGTAGATCTCAAGTAAGCCAAAAGAAGCTCTTGGAAAGATGGCCTGGTACCATAAACAGTTCTGTCTGGCAGAGAGGATTAGAGAAGCTACATCAAAGAATTCGTACCATAAAATAACCTGGACTTTTCCACCCCAGCATTGTAATCAGTAGAGATTGCAAAAGAGCAGCCACAACCAGAGGATTATCTTGAGGAAGACTTTGAAGGAAGAAAAAGAGACTGATCTTTGCTAGCAGATCGTATCTCACAGAATACTTTGTAGGCAGGGCTGAATTGAGAAGGTTCCTGTGTGAATTGCGTGCTGGGTGAATCGTGTGCTTTTCAACAGTCAGTAGTTGAATGTAAATATTTTCTCAAAAATATTTAAAACCATAGTGTCTCTGTTTTAGAGTCTCACACAAAATTATAGCAAATATTTTGAAAATTATTTTTAAATTCAGTTTCTTGAAATTTTGAAAGTTATTTATTAACTGTCAAGAACTATGGAGTATGAGAAAAAAATTTTTTTGGAGAGGTTTTTGCTATAGGGTGCGTGCGTTCGCCAGACAGACAGAGACAGACAGAGAGATAGAAAGCGAGAAATCACCCCCCCCAGGGGGGATGGCCACGCCGCAATCCCTTCTCCTCCATTCTCCTCTTGGGATCTTGGGCACGCACGCACATGTGCCCGGCGTGAGTTTTAAGCCACCGGGTCTGGGACGCGAACTGCGGTCAACTACATGGGAGTCCAGTGACATAGCCATTACGCTAACTGCTGGTCCCATGAGCAAAAATTTTTGATATGTAAAGTAAATGTTTGTGGGGAAGAAAAAAAAAGACTCCTGATATTTAGAGTCATATTTTTATATTTTTGTGCTTCTTGGTCATTTTACTATTTCAAATGCCCCTTACGTCTAGTACTAAATGCTGTCTAGTGTCCCTAAGCGAGACAGCTGTGATGTGTCTTGTTGGGAAAACACACTTGTTAGCCAGATGAGCTTTATTTAGGCAGAGACTGCAGTGCTACTGGCCTTGAGTTCAGGGTTAATGAATCTACTATTTCTCTTTACAAAAAAAGGTGTCTTGAAACACAGAAATACATAAAAAACAAGGTTATACATACTGATCAGTGGATGAAAATGTGATAATCAGAGGTTTGCAGGAACCTAACCTTGTATTTTCCCTGAGGCAGCGACTCAGTATTCACTAATTATTTGCAGTGACTTTATAGAACATAACTAACACAAATAATGGGAACAGACTGCATTTGTTTTCTTATTTATTAGCCGTCTCTCCCACTAGCCTATGAGCATTGCAGGACATTCCTGTTCGCTGCCACACCCCCAGTATCTGGCACTCAGTAGCAGCTCAACAATTAGCTGCTGAGTGAACGGGGTAGGCCAGGGACCTCGGAAGGGAGGGCATGCACAGCCACAC